GAGTATTAGATGAAAACTAAAAAAGTGGTAGGTCAAACCCTGGACATAACTTCTCATAAAAAGGAAGTTGTTGGCTGGTGTATTTTTGTATTCAGATTCCTGCTGCCAGGACCTTCGAATGCTTCTGACTCTACTTAATTCACCTCTTGTAGAACAGAGTTATAAATAAATAAATAAATGAATGAATGAACGTATAAATAAATAAATAAATAAATGAAGAAGACCAGATGGGGGAAAAAATTGCATCTGATGACATCTTGCCTACTACATCCCCAGCTCTGTCTCTGACCCTGGGCCCTTTAGTTCAGAGCTTCCAATGGCCCATACATATATCTACTACACCAATGCTCAATCTCACCACTTCCACACTTCCCCAATATCACTCTCTTCTAACAATCAAAGCCCTGATGCCTCTACAGCAAGGAGAGGCAGACTGAGAGGGGTATTATATTTTGATTTAGAGGGTATCATCAAGCTCTTCATAGAAAAAATTTTTCTGCCTCTGCAACATTTGTTAATGCATCAACTGCTACTATTTTTATGGCATTTCTGCAAATATTTATCATGAGCACAATACTGAGAGATGACCAACTGTCCCACAAAATAATATTTTTTCTTGCCTTTGGACCCAAGACAAAACCAACTCCTTTATGTGCTCTTTAAGGAGAACCTGTGAACCACTCTTCCATTTAGTTGTAATTTCCTCTTATCTTCTGGTTTTGCTTATAGTTAGAATGTCAATACTGGCACGATTCATTTCCTTTAGTGGCATGTCCACTTGTTTATCATTAGTCAAGGACACAAATGTGTCAGAGACACATCTGACACAGAATACCTACAGCTAAATTAATGTTGTAGATATTTTCCATCACCTTTTTTGCCACTGTCACTGCAGAAGCAGAAGAAGGCCACACAGGATTAAGGATCATCTAAAATTTTTCTTAGTTTTATGAGTTGATATGGTTAATGAATTAATTATCAAACAGCTAGCTTACTAATAATGATTATCCTCATAACTTAGGAAGGTTTGCCTTTAGAAGGTGGAGACAATCTGTTACCCATCTCTCTTATATCCATGTAATTCAGAACATTCACCTCAAAAACAAACAAACAACTGAAAGGGTACTGCATATGGTATTATACAAATATACTCAGAATACATTATTCAAATATCCACTAACCCAAACTACTCTAAAATAACCAAAAATTCAATTCACCTAGGCTACTGCTCCAACAACTACTCAATCCCAGCTTAAGAGACACAAGAACAATTAGGATTTCTTAACACTTTCAGGAAAAAAATCCTCTAAAGCCAAAGCTATAAATTCAAGAAAAAGTCTTCCAAACCTGAGGTCAACCACTATAACTACAACAAATACTACTACTACTACTACTACTACACCAAAGCAAGTAGAAAAACACAACCACCTCAGTTCAGTTCAACTAGCATTTATTAGCTGTCTACTAAGAACTAGGAACAAGGCTAGGGAATACAAAGATAAAAATAAAAATAATTCATTCCCTCAGAATTTACATTCTGTATCAAAGAAAGCCATGTCTTTCCTAACTTGGGTTAAAAACTTTTTCAATTCTTATTGCCAAATTCACAGACTCAAACACATCTAAGTTATCAAAGTTTAGAAAGTAAAAATTGGCTGAACTTACTTAATTTAAAACATTTCTAGGACAATTTTAACAAATGAATAAATTCTAAATTAATTTTACTTAAGTTTTCCATATATAATAAAGCAGTGGATCTTCTACATTCCTAAACACAATATGATTTGCAAAACATTAGTCAATTACCCATGCTAATACAGTTAAAGTCAGAAAAGAATATTTTTTTCAGATGATCACAAATCTATTAAAATCAATGTTCCACAACACTTCCCAAATGACTTTAGGACAATTTACACTGACAAAGAAGAATACTGGTTTAACTTAACAAAATATATAGGAAGCAGAAATTCTAGTAAACTTTGTAAGGAAAAATGAGTAAATGCTTTATTAGTCCACATGATTATTGAGAAGTAGGCTAATATTCTATGTAAAATTTAAAACAATATGCAAAGTATATTTTAAAGAGATTACTTATAGTTTACTAAGAGTTTATATAAGAGGCAGTGTATAAGAGTGCTGGGCCTGTAGTCAGAAGACCTGAGATAAAATCTAGCCTCAGAAACTTACTGGCTATGTAATCTTGAGCAAGTTACTTCACCTTTGTTTGCTGTAGAGGCAGCTAGGTGGCCTTAAACCCGTTTGCCTCAGTTTCCTCATCTGTAAAATGGGCTGGAGAAGGAAATGGCAAACCATTCCAGTATCTTTGCCAAGAACACCAAATAAGGTCAAAAAGAATCAGATACGACTGAAATAACTGAACAACAAATTTACATGTTTACATATCGGTTTTTGCCTCTGTAAAGCAATTAATTGATCTAGAGAGGATCATAGATTTAGAGGCAGAAAACTAAGAGGCTATCTAGTCTAATCCCTCTCATTTAACAGATTAGGAAGCAGACCCAAAGAGTTGAAGCACCTCCCCAATCAAGGTCATAAATATATTAAGTAAGAAGAGATGATACTTGAATTCAGGTCTTGTGACATCAAATCCAATGTTGTCCACTGCACAACACTGTTTCTCTCATTTCAACTTCTCTCCTCAAGGGATCCCCCTTAGGACCTACAGATATCGAGTAACTATAATAATAACAATAACAATAACAATAATAATAATAATAATAATGATATAATGTGGTTAGCTGGAACAAACCCAAACACACATTCACAACTACTTACACTTAAGAATGGATTAGTTCCTTCCATTTGTTAACTCATTTCTATATTTGTGAATATATTTTCTCTTTCACATAGACCTAAATCTGTTCACATACTAGTCTCCTGGATCTCCTGTGCATTATTTTTTAAAAGTTTTTCAAATATATTTGCTCTTCAAATTATTAATGGCACTTCGGTATTCTACTGCATTGATATACAATAACATAATCATTCACCATTTTGTTAGGGGTGTTTGTTTAGTTTGTTTCAAGTTCCTTGGAATTACAAATAATGTTGTGTTTATCTGTAAATACGTACACATATATCTAGATACATATGGACAAACATATAGATACAGATCAGATCTCTTTTTTCATGACAACATTTTTAAAGTATACTCACAAAAATGTAATCACTGGGCCAAAAGATATGATGATTTTTATGACTTACTTTATCCAACCAGATAGTCCTCCAAAAAGACTCTGTTAACTTGGTATGCCAGTATGCATAAAAGTATACCTATTTCTCAGCAAGTCCACAAACATTACATTATTGCTTTTACTTCTGCCAGTTGGATAGCTGGGATATAGTACTTCAAAACTGTTTTAAATTGCATTTCTGAGTATTAACCAGGCAAAAATTTTTTCAAAATTTTTTTTAACAATATGTGTAAGACTTGATTATCCAATGGTAACTTTGCATTGTCCTTAAACAGTCATAATGATTCCAAATTTTAGATTAAAGTTTTTATCTCATATGTTTGTTATAATTATTTCTCTCAAAATCTAGGATTTTTCTTCATTATGTTTTTGGGGGCAAACTTTTAATGTAATTAAATCTATCTTTTCTCAGTTTGATGATTTAAAATGCATCTGTTCTTTACAAGTGTAATATATTTATTCCCTTTTCCCCTCCAATTTTTTAATAGTTCATTTCCTTATATTTAATTCTATGATCCAGAGAGTAGGCCAAAAGAACTAAGGCAATGCCTCAGGGTTAATTGGATCTGATTTATGATACCATCAGATACTATCTTTACAGTACAATGAGACTAAGAAAAGAATCTCTTTTCAACATACCTTTCTAGTCCTATCTTATAGCATTCCCCCTTTATGTACTCTATCCTCCAGTTAAAAGGGATTATTTCTGTCCCTTAACTACATATTGCACTTTCCGAACTTTATACTATTCTCTGTCTTGGGAACACTCACCTCTCTACAACTCTGTCTACTAAAATGATTCCTGTTCTTCAGGGTTCAGCTCAAATGTCATCTCGACAATGATATCTTCCCTGAACTCTACAACTAAAAGCAAACTTTCCATCTGGCAAATTCATACTGCCTTATTCATACAAATTATTCACTTATCTATAATACCCCCCCAAAAAAAAGAACATAATATTTGAGTATAAGTCCTATCACCCCTACTAGATGATTCATTCTGGGAAGATGTGAGCTTTGTCTTAATTGTAATCTACATTGCTGTATTATTATCTTTGTATTTTCCTTGTGCCTAGAATAGTAAGTGGTTGATAAAAATGTTTGTTGAATAAAAAAAAAAAGCTTAGTGAAATTACAATGGTATTTTAAATACAGACAATGCTACCTTTAAAGTCTTCATGAGGGGCAGCTAGGTGGCGTAGTGGATAGAGCACCAGCCCTGGATTCAGGAGGATCTGAGTTCAAATTTGGCCTCAGACACATAACACTTACTAGCCGTGTGACCCTGGGCAAGTCACTTAACCCCAATGCCTAGCCAAAAAAAAAGTCTTCATGAAAAAATAAGACTTCTTGATATTAATATTTCCCTCTTATTTACTAGGAGCAATAATATCATTAGAAATTTTAAAATAATAATGTACTTTGGTGAGAAATCTCTGCATCTACCAGAATCTGAGCAGGTTCCACCCAGGAGGTAACTCCCCCACTCCAGTTTCCCTCATCTCACCTACCTACACCTCATAAGAATAGTCTGATAAACATGCAAGGGGGAAAAGAAATAACATGTATTTTTGCCCAAAGGCTGACACTCTTTTAAATATTGAAATTATAAAAAATATTCCAATTTTGGTGATTCTCATCACTAAGTGATAAAATTTATTTTCTCAGAACTGTTCTAACAAAGAAAATGATCTAATGCTTGGTAGAGAGTTTTCTAAATTCAAAAAACTAAAAATAAGCTTTAGGTATTCATTATATAACTTATAAATTCAATAGGATACAAACCTCATCTCTGTGCTTCTGACAGAAGACCAAAAACTGAGACCCTGAATCTCCTTTTCTGCTTCGTGGAGTAGATGCTGCAGCCTTCTTTCTACCAACAGGAGAACCCAATCCTCTTTTTGAATCTGCCTGTTCAGCTGCCCTTTGAGGAGTAATATTTTTAGTCCCTGAATCACTTTCCTGGTTATCTGTATACGTCGGTAATTTTGATCTCCTCCTCCTCTTGATGGGGATGCCTAATTCTTTATGCTTTGGAATTTGAGAGGTTTCTTCACTTACATCTGAAGATTCATCTACTTCCTCTAATGGATCCACAGCAATACCAGCTTCCTTAGCTACTTGAGGATTAAGGTGAAGTCGGTCCCTAACATAGACGAAGGTAAACTTGGCTTTCCGCTCTTCTACTGTCATACTCACTGCTTCTTTTGCTTGAATAATACCCATTTCCCATTGGGCCCTCAATTTCCCTGAAATAGGTTTCAATAGCTGAAAGAAAATAGAAGAAGTTATGAATACTTAAGAGACACAAAACTATATATTAAGGAATGGCAAGTTTAGTTAGGAGCAATAAAGGACTAGCAAAACATTTTAACTGATTTTTCAAAGTCAAGAACTCAGTCTCCAATTTGTGGCAAGCTCTCCATTTTCCCCCTACACTAAATTTAAGATATTTGTACATATGAAGAAAAAAAAACCTAAGGGAATATTTATTTAGCTTGGGTGTTATAGTGTCCATGAAAAAAATTTTAAAGTATACATAATTAAATTTAGGCATATTTTAACAAAGCATTTTCAGAGCAATATGTAATTTTTTTTAAAAAAAGGACACCTATCACAACTAGCCTCTATCATACAATTCAGACATTTGTGAATTCTACAAGATTAAAATACTACAAATACTAGTTATAGCCAATACTTCCAGGATCTATACTTTCATTGTATTAAGGTTTTTGAGAGATAATAGAGATGAAAATTTAATTTCTTTGAAGCCAGCCTGGTAATAAGCCTCTCCACACTTGACAAGGCCAGTTACCGACCACAGACAAGTGATTCATGACCAGTCCTAGAATCCCAAGGCCCTCCAAGAGCTTGTGCTCCATATAAAACCAACATCAAACTGCTACCATCTTAGGGAGAACAGGGGAAGAAATGAAGGGAGAGAAGACGGGAGAAATTTTGGAACTCAAAACTTTGTTTTAAAAAAACGACTATTAAAAATTGTCTTTACATATAGTTAGAAAAAACAAAATAGTATTAAATAGAAAGAAAAAAAAGAGCTTGTGTTCCACTGGCAAAGGCTTCTAGAACCCAAGGACCTCTCCACACCAGGATAAGGCTTCAAAAGAGGCTATTTGTGGGACTTCACAAAAGATTTTTCTTCTAAAAGCTTTTAGCAACATTGATTACCTTGATTTTCTCAGCTTTTGTGGGTGCCTGTTTTGCACTTTCCTGGCACAATTTTTCGAATTGCTCTTCTCCTTCAAATGATACAAGGCTCTTCTCAAATATCCAAGCTCTTTCTGGAGCATCACCAAAGAACTGTACATGATACTGGCGAGCACTCTTTTTCTGTCCTAATTTCACAAGGAAAATAAATGTGCATTAGAAAAGAAAATAGATGTTGAAAGAAAACTGGGAAAATATCTAATTGTTTTTACATTATATAAGTGAAAAAACCACCAAGTTGCCTTATACTTTGTTAGCAAATTCTGTTCTCATCAAAAGACTATACAATTGATCTCTTATTTCCCAAAGCAATAGCAGTGGAAAAAACTCTGAGGCAATTAAAAAATGATAAAATATTCAGAAGTGATGGAGGTGAAAGATTATTTAACAAGCAAAGTTTTGACTTAATTTGCTGGCTAGATCAATACTATAGAACTAAACCAATTTTATTGGGGAATTAAACTGATCTTTACAACTTTTGGAGGTCACTTATTTAGGCACCTACAGTGTACAAATTTGTGTAGGTTATTTGGAGAATTGATAAAGGGAGATTAGAGATAAGGGATCCAAACAATTTTAAATGAAAAGGTTAATATTGTTTCAGTACGCTACCTAACAGAGTGTCAGAGGGCTAACCTGCCATCTGAAAATAAAGTACTGAAGGAAATAATAAGATTCTGATTATTAGCCAGAGACTTGAAGTAGGGAGGATTCGGGAATGCTCCAGAGAAAGAAATTGAACAACAAATCTCCTGTTCTTAGAAAGATGCTACAAATCAAAATTGAATGACACAATGAGTAATGATCTAAAGAAATAAAAACTTAGAGTACTATGAACAAATGGGAGTCCTCTCAAAGAGTAAGAATAACGTCCTCAAACTATTGGAGGGTATAGGAAGACAGGTAAAGTATTCAACAATAAAGTTGTCACATTCTAATTCAACAAGCATTTATAAAATGTCTAATTTATGTAAGACACAGTGCTCAGCGCTAAAGATACAATTTAAAATGGTTCATGACCTAAAGAAGTTTATACCTACTAGACAATTCAATATGATTGATAAATGAATACAATATAATTTGAGGAGAAAAAAGCACTAACAACTAGAGCAATCAGGAAAAAATTTCTAAAAGGGGACATAAACTGAACCTTAAAGAAGTGAAGGCTCTTAAGAGGCAGAAGTAAGAAAATAGTGAAGAATCCTTAGAAAAGTAAGGAACAAATGCATTCCAAGCATTTGGGGAGACAGCCTGTACAAAGTAATGGAGATCAGTGACGGCAAGTCAGCTTTGGGGAAAAGTTAAGATGTCAGTGTGCATGTGAAAGAGAAAATAAAGTAGACTGAAGACAGACTGTAAAGAGATTTAAATGCCAACCAAAGAAATTTCTATTGTGCAGAAGTGGATTGACAAAAGAAGAAGCTGGAATCAGGGAGACCAGTTAGGGGACTATTACAGCAGTCCAGGAAACAGGTAAAGAAGACCTGAATGAGGATGGACGGAACCGTGAATAGAAAAAAAAAAGGGATGAATAAATGAATGTAGAGGTAAGAAGAAAAGGCTTGACAGCTGACAGAAAACATAGTGCCCTGAAGAGAAATAGGAAGATTGGTGGAGGTCTACTTTGGGTGTGGAAGCAGAAGATTATAAAGAGAATAATGGCGTCTTAGGAGAGAGGGGAACTTTAGGAAATACTCAACTTTAGGAAACAACAGTTAAGATTAAAATCAAAAGGTTTTAATGTTTTAAAAGGGTCAATCCACAGGAATCTTGGACATATTTTATAGGAAAATCTAAGCAAAATAGCACACCAAGTATCAAATATATCACACAGGTGATTGAGGAGTGTGGGAAGCACTATACAAACCTAACATGGCTAATGAGCAGAAAAAAAAAATCTTTCACAAAAAAGAAAGGAAATATCAAACTATAAGTTAGACCACCTAAAAATAAACATCCTATGTTCACACGGTCTCTACTTAACTTGAAATGTTTTTCCATTTTATCTTCTTTTTTTTTTGCCACAAGGCCCAGCATATGCTCTACTTCCTTAAACTGTTCCTATCTCTTCCTTCTACGAGATTCTGTACAACTACTGATGTGTACCACTCATAAGTGATTTAACAATATAAAACCATGGGGCAGCTAGGTGGCATAATGGATAGAGCACTGGCCCTGGAATCAGGAGTACCTCAGTACAAATCTGGTGTCAGACATATAACCTTGCTGTGTGACCCTGGGCAAGTCACTTAACCCCATTGTCTAGCCAAACAAACAAACAAATAAATAAAAAACCAGTCTATATATTTTTAACACGTCTCATTCTTTTCAACTAAGCTTCTTGAGGACTTACTTCTTAGGATCGAGCCATAGGATAACACAATGCTATAGGAGGCACTATTATTACCCTAATAGTTACAGCTGAAAAAGAACCAATAACCAAATGGTCCAAAAACCAATAATAGAGAGGTGACCAGCCATAGAATCGCCAGAATTACCTGATAATCATGGAGACAAGAGTTAATAAAGAAGACAACATAGACAAGGGCTGGATGTAACAGCAGAGTAAAAGGGAATTTCAGGAACTCAGGGCCATGGAGTTATTTTGGCAAGCCTGTAGGGTAAATAGACTGTATTTCTTTAGAAAACTATCAACAAACATGAAAGTGCTTTAAATATCTAAAAACATAAAAATAAAATGAAAACAATTCTCAGGTTTCATCTTGCCCTCAAATTGGACATTTTTGGTGGAGCTATGAATTGATCACACTTTTCCAAAAACAATATGAAATTATGTGACAGAAGTTACCAAATTGCTCACAGCCTTCGAACCAAAAATCCCACTACTAGTCCCAGGCCAATGACAGAAAGATACCATATATATGTATATCAAACATTCTTAGTAGCATTTTTCCGTAGTAGGAACCTATTGTGCCTCAAAACTAGAAACCAAACAGGTGCCCATCAGTGGGACAATGGTTAAACAAATTGAGGTATATGAATGTTATGGGAAATTTTTATAGTCAATGGATAACGAATATGAAGATTTCAGAGAAATGAGGGAAGGCTTATATGAACTGATGCAGAAAGAAAAGAGCAGAACTAGGAGAAAAATATACACAACTTACAATAATATAAATGAAAATAAATTTAAAAGACAAAATTCGGATCAGATGCAATAACCAATATTGATTCAGGATGACTGATGTTAGGAAATGCTTTCTTTTCAAGTAGAGAGGGCAGACTAAAGTTACAGAAGATTCACATAAGTAAGTAGTCAATCACAATCATCAGCTGGTATTACTTAAGTGTTTTTGTGGCATTATTAGATAGTAATTGCGGTGTAAAAACAAACCAAAATGCATTAATAAAACAGAAAATAAAATAAGGGAAACTTGGGACCAAAGCAGTGGAACAAAAGCTTAGAAGAGTTTGGGGGCAGCTAGATGGTGCAGCAGATAGAGCACCTGTCCTGGAGCCAGGAGGACCTGAGTTCAAATCCAGTATCAGACCACACACTTGACATTGACATTTACTAGCTGTGTGACCGTGGGCAAGTCACTTAACCCCAATTGCCTCGCCAAAAAAAAAAAAAAAGGTGAGTTTGTAGATACTTGGACTAGAGTAGGAATCTGCCATTTCTTCCTTCCTAATATCTTTCCTTATTCTGTTTCTCTGCTTTTCTACTTCTCTGTACTGTATAACATGCTCTCCTTCCCCAGATACTGCTTTATTCCTCAACTGGCTGCAATATGGAAGTGAAGTATATTTTATATTAACATAGTAAAGTATATGCTGTTTTGAAAATCAAAGACTCAGAAAAAAATCCTGTTGAGGATTAAGGGGAAACTTGGTGCTTTTCTTTGAATCCCACCATTTAATTAGCACAGTCCCTTGGCACATACAAAGGGCTTAGTAAACGCCTGAAGTCAAGAAAACTTATCTTGGTAAGTTCAAATCCAGTCTCAGACACTTATTAGCTTATGAATTTAACCCTGTTTGCCTCAATTCCTCATCTATAAAATGAGCTGGAGAAAGAAATGACAAACCACTCCAGTATCTATGCCAAGAAAACCCCAGAAGTTATATGAATGTAACAGAATACTGTGCTATAAGAATATTATGCTATAAGAAATGATGAGCAGTAAGACTTCTGAAAAACCTGGGAAGACTTATATAAACTGATGCTGAGTGAAGTGAGCAGAACCAGGAGAACATTGTATGCAATAACAGCCACAATGTGTAATGACAAACTTTGACAGACTTAGCTCTTCTCAGCAATACAAGGATCCAAGACAGCTCCAAAGGACTCATGATGGAAAATGCTGTCCACATCCAGAAAAAGAACTATGGAGTCTGAATGCAGATCAAAGCATATTACTTATACTCTCTTTTTTTCTTTTTCTTGTTTGTTTCTTCTTTCTTGTGATTTCTCCCACTGGTTATAACTCTTCTTTACAACATAACTAATATGAAAATAGGCTCAATATGAATGTATACATAGACCCTATATCAAATTGCATGCTGTCTTGGGGTGGGGGAAAGGGAGAGATGGGGAGAAAATACAGAACTCAAAAATCTTATGGCAGTGAATGCTGAAAACTAAAAACAAATTAAAAAAAAAAAAGAAAACCCCAAAAGTGGTCACAAAGAATTGGACATGACTGAAACAACCAAACAACAACAACAAATGTTTGTTAACTGACTGCCAGCTTCCATCTCAGTTAACAGATGAGAAAACAGGACCAGAGCTGTTAGGTGATTTGCCCAAGGTCATAAAGTATTAATGACTAAAACAGGATTAGAACTCAGGTCCTTTGTCACCCAATCTATTCCTCCTTTCTTTCAACACTGATAGAAACTAGTCAATTTGTTTTATTTGTTTCTGGTCTTTAAATGAGTCTTTGCTGTGAATCAAAGGACTTCAACAGAAAAGAAGTTTCTCCACCCTGGTTCCATTTCTTGCCATTAATATTTGGGCAAACTTTATACAATGTATGAAGAGGAGTAAAATCTAGCATGTCCAAGAGCTATCCTGGTAGCTGACTTTACCTTTCTCAAGTGAAATAAGCAAAGCTTTTTAAAAATTGCAGTCTGGCAAAGGTTACATAGACACATCCTATGATAATGAAAAACTTATCCTTTCTTTAGAGAGAGATAGATAAACAAGCTAAAGAACCATAGCCTCAAACAACTTGGTATTTTAGGCAGTATACTCAATTATACTGTGGTCAAGGGGCCAAAAGGTAGCCTAGATTAGGTTCCTTTGATCCTCAATACCACCCAAAAGGTTCAGGGACAGGTCACTACAAACATTTTTGAGCACTCATGTACAAAGCATTATATTGTTACTGTAAATACTGCCCTTCCCTGACCAAGACACAACCTACTAAGTTTATAATCAAATTAAAAGAAATATCATATGTGTATGTAGGGGTGTGTGTTTGTGTGTTGTGTGTGTGTGTGTGTGTGTGTGTGTGTGTATGTGTGTGAACTTAAGCAATTACAGAGAAATTTATTGCAAAATACTAAATGAGGTTGCAAAATATAGGAATTTTGTAATCATCACGAAATGCTTCCAAGAAACAAGAATTCAATGAATATGATTTGGAAAAGTGTGAACATGAGTTAAGGTACGTGGAAACCCTATGTATTCCCTATTTTAACGTTTCCCCAAAGTGAATGCGACATACATAGATTACATTAAAATAAATCACTTATTTATAAACAATAGCATCTACCTGGCCCTAAGAAAAAGCAGAAAAACTAACTCAAAGATTACATAGCAAAAAGAGGTTATAAAATACATATGAAAACTAGAGTAGGAAAACAAAGATTGGTAAAGGATGAATGAGAAAAGTAAGAAGGAAAAAAACAAACAACCTGACCCCCATACACCCTACCTTTTAGTTTGGTATAGCTGTGAAGGAGAGGATCTGCTGAAACCATACATGGCCACCAAGGGTAACCTGAAACTTTTGCCCACACCAAATCTCCAACATTGTACTTCAACAGATGATCTTTTTCTTTGTTGATGTTTGGATATGACTCCCTCTTAGCTAGAATCTTTAAACAAACAAACAAAATGTATGAATACTAAATCATCAAAAACTGTTATAAAGTTTTCCATCACACAAATTTTTCTGAGTCTTATGGAACACTTCCTTACAGAAAATGGCAGGTATTGTTATCCACAGGGAAATGAAATCGAACTGTTCTACAATCTAATAGCAACTACACTTAAACTTCTCCTATCCCTTCCCATTTGAACTCTCAAACTACTGACTAACATCATAGGTAAATTTGTTCCACATCTTTCCCACCCTCTTTGAAGCAATCCTTCATACTTGCTAATTTATTAGACCGCGTTTGAGCAGAAGAGCTCCACAAAGTATCAAACATGAAAAAAATTTTTTTTAAAGTGTAACAGAGGGGCCAAAGTATTTTTCATCATTATAGCCAGTCCTACCTAGATTACTAAGTGAATGCATCTTCTGCGATATACCTACTTAAGTTATCTCCTCCCATCTCATTTTCTCAATAATTCTTTCATTGTCTTCTCTTCCTACTGTAAATGCTTATGCTTTTAAATATGGAGAGAGAAAATATCCTCCAAATCCTACTCAATAGCGGAATGATTACTGAATTCCCCAGGAAAACCAGGGACTGAAAGAAGCTAGAGGTCTCTATTTTTAATTCCACTGGCCAAGAAAAGCAACTTCTGTCTATTCCCTAGCTTCTACCCTTATTAATTAGACATTAGGGATACTTAAGATCCCACAAAGGATTATAGTTGATGGGGTTCTTTATGATTTAAGTCACAAGGAGACAAATTCTTTCAGATTCTTTAGATAACCTAGTTCTCTATACTAAGTCTCAACTTTAATGAACAAACATAATTTTCATCTAAACCCCTCTATTCTAATTACTCTTAGCTAACACAGCATAAGAAATGACACATTCAAATATAATGCAACCATAAATTTATCATTGTCCTTTATAAACCTAAGAGCTTAAAAAGTCATATGTATGTTGGGAAGGGAGAGCACATTCTGCCAGTATTACCTCTATTTTTCTATCTTCTTACCCTAAATGGGGTTTCTCTCGTGATATGTAAGCCCAAGCTCTCGCCATGGCCCCTTGAAGTCTATGAGCCTATGGCCATGTCTGGGAAGCTAGCTGTCTCTTTAATCCTACTCTTCCATACTTTCCCCAGAATTACCTTTTTTTCGGAGGGACTTGAAGCCTTAGATACCAAAGCTGCTTCAACAAGGCCCTGTTCAAGTAAGGAATCATACTTTATGCTCCTTTTCCTATTCCTTCTTGACTTGTTTTCTAGTTTTTGTTCATTTTCTTCTGACTGGGACACATCTGCACCATTGTCTCCACAAATAGAAGATTCAAAGAGAGGTTTTCCATTCATGTATGTTTTGGTGATCTTCAGTTTAATCTCAGGAGAGCCATTTTTGATAGGAGTAGTGTGAGGAGGTGTTCCAATTCCCTTTATTTCCTGGGATTCAAAGCGCAGCTTGGCATCTTGGGCACCAGACTCCCCATTGAAGACACGAGAGGTTAGATCTTTCAATTTGTCAGCCGGAATGAATGGTAGAGCTTCATGGCCATTAAATTTTTGCATGACACCCTCTGGTAGGGTAGTAGAAATCTGGGCTTTGCTGAGAAACACTGAACATTCCCGATTGACTTCACAATTCTGAGTCTTCCCGTTGGTATTTCCAAGGATCTCTGGAACTTGCTTCATTTTTCAGCTGACTTACAATTTTCTGAATTATTGATGGAAATTTTCTTTTAATACTAAAGTTCATTCAGTCCAGATGCTTCCAATATTACACTACAGTTAAAAAAAAAAAGGTTTTTTTAGACCCTCAAACAAGTATCTTGACATTTTAATAAAAGAAGCACTTGCCCATTTATTAGGTTTTATATTTTAATTTAGGATGCAGGTTATGACAACTATAAGTAAGCAGACAGTCAATAATATTAATTCCAAAGGATTTTTATAGATAATTCTTTACTATGCTTAGTCTAAGATTGTATTTCAAACTAGTCAAGTCAAGCCTCATTTAAGTGCCTACTATATGTCAAGTACTGTGCTAAATGCTGAGGATACAAAGAAGGGCAGGTTTCCTGCCCTCAAGGACTTCATAAGCTAATGGAGGAGCCAACTCAAAAACAAATACATACAAACAAGCTATATACAGGGTAAGTTAAAGGTAGTTTTGAAGGGAAGGCATTATTAGTATCAACTGCAACCATGATAACCTTCTTGCAAAAGACGAGATTTCAGTTGAAACCTAGAAGAAACCACACTTATTATAAGTTATACGTGTCACATATATAACAACCCACATTTATTATACAGTTACAACATGAATTATAACAAAATATTAATTAGTTGAAAATGTCTGAAATCTGGTCCTTCTAGAATTAGGACCATTCTTACTTTAAAAACTAAACTGTAATCATCCAGCCTTCCTTTCAAACCTACAATAAAAAGTACTCACTGATTAACATAAGCATTTTAATCAGAAATTATTCTACTCTCACCTGGAAAAAAATTAAAAATTGCTCACTTCCTATCAGTAACTTTATGATGACAGACAATAATACCCTAAAGAATTTACCAACACTCTCAGTAAAGTGGTAAAGGTAGAGGATTTTATTTATTTTTTAAACAATGTGCCTCTAAGAAGGAGGGAAGTAAATAGGGTAGGAGGGTAGAAAATAAGTATTTATTAAATGCTTATTATGTACCAGGCAGTATACTAAGTGCTTTACAAATATTATCTCATTAAGCAAGGCAACATTTATTTTTACACAAGCAAGGCTGTAATAAACTTTTATATACTTGAGGATCATATCAAAAAAATATATAACCCAAAAAACATTAAAAAGGCCTCCAATAACAACACTGGAAAGAACACCAATAGAAAACTTATGTGAGGAGTGGATATGAGTGTAATCCTTGAAGACAATAAATATCCACAACAACCCTTTAAAGTCCTAAAGGATATTTCAAGATAATTTCTAGGCCATTCTAAAGTAGTCTAAGTTTAAAAAAAAACACAGAAAGATCACATTTATTTATTTGGGGCAGAAGAAGGTATAGTTTCAGAGATTCAAGGAGATTTTGGAAACTATAATACAAAACCAATGAAATGAATTAACAGTGTTATGTGAATAGTGCCGTATCTAGGAACCTTTTCTGTACTAAGAGTCCAAGAAGAGTACTGAAGAGTTGGTAGGAAAAAGAAAGGCAGTAAAGCACACTAGAAAAAGTCCTGTTCTAGAATTCAGGAAACCTTGATTTTAGTCCTGACTCTGCCACTAAAAAAATTACATAGCCTTGCATAAACCACTTTATTTTGATCCTTAACTCATCACTGGCTCTCATTGCTGAAGATTTTGAGCAATTCTGCCTCACTTAAATACAACTGACTCACAAGTCATCAATCATGATGTCATTGGTCCTCTTCCAAAACAAAGGACTAACAACATCTCTCACTCCCCAAATCCAATTCACTCTCTCTCACAGTGCCCCCATCCAATCTGTTGCCAAGGCCTGTCAATTTCACCTTTGCAACATCTCTTCAATATGGCTCCCACTCCCAACCCAGGCTCTTATCACCTCAAGCCTGGACCACTGCAATATGCCAATGGTAGCTCTTCCTGTCTCAAGTCTCTCCCCTCTCCAATCCATCCTCCCTTCAGCCACTAAAGTGATTTTACTGAAATGCAGGTCTGATTATGTCATCCCCGAACTCAAACTCCAGTGGCTCCCTATTCTCTCCAGGACCAAATACAAAATCCTCTTGCATTCAAAGCCCTTCATAACCTAGCCTTCTCCTATCTTTCCAAGTCTTCTTACATCTTTTCCCACAGACAAACACTCTTCAATGAAGTGACTATAGCCTCCTAGATGTTGCACCAACAAGATACTCCATCTTTTGGCTCCAGGAATTTTCTGTGGCTGCCCTGATGCCTAAAATTTCCTCCCTCCTCATCTCCGCCTACTGCTTTCCCAAGCTTTCTTTAAGTTCCAACTACAATCCCATTTTCTACAGGAAATCTTTCCCAACATGTATTAACTCTTCCCTCTTTTAATTATTTCCTATTTATCCTATATCTATCCTTGTTTGCATATATTTGTTGACTAGTTGTCTCCTCTATTTGACTTTGAGATCCCTGAAGGCAGGGATTGTCTCTTCCCGGAAATGAACTAAGTTGATTATTCAATTCAAAACACAGACACATATAATTCCTATTAAAACAAAGATAAAAAAACATTATTAATGTTTTAGAAAAACCCTTATAAACTGCTTTCTAGGCATGCACCAAAAATAGATAATTAAAGGTAAGTATAATGAGAAATAATTTGTTCCTTAACAAACACTCTAGCATACTTGACCCTTCTTTTCAAGGAGTTTGGGCACCTTAAAACCATCTATTTTCTTTGCCGAACTCTGATGTTAGTGTGGATTCTTATCACCAATCTTTGTCTCTTCTTCAAAAGGCAAAAATGGGCCAGCTGTAGCTACTGTTACATAATAACAAACTGACAAGATAATAAAGGATGAGAAGAAAATAGAAGGAGGCTAAGCTGGCAACAAAAGTTCAGTTCCCAAAATGCAATGCTCCTTTTTATTATAGTTCTGAACCCTATACCTTTCAGGAAACACCACAGGCCTACATTCTGAAGATGTCAAGAGATTCTATAAAAGTTGTGGTTAGCAGAGGCAGCTAGGTGGCACAGTGGATGGAGCACTGGCCCTGAAGTCAGGAGGACCTGAGTTCAAATCCGGCCTCAGACCAAACACTTGGCACATACTAGCTATGTGACCTTGGGCAAGTCACTTAACCCCAACTGCCTCACCAAAAAAAAAAAAAAAAGAGTTGTGGTTAGCAATGACGTGATACAGGAGAATTCACTAACCTAGTAGATCATTAGGACAGGAAATCTTTCTTTTCTCTTAGGTTTATTTCAATAAATACAAATTATTTCCCATTTGCAAGAAAAACATTAGAGTAATATATCCAAAAGGCAAAAATTCAATAAAAATAGGTCTTCAAAAACAGACTCATTGGAAAGGAAAAAAATGTTACTAGTACAAACATTTACTGAACATTGGCACTGTACTATACTATGGGTAGCCTTTACAGCCCTGTAGAGCAGCTTGCACTCTGTAATTAGTTACTATATTTTCTTCAATTCAAAGATGATTCAAATATCTGCAAAATAAAGCTTTCAAACCTGAAGAATATAATTTAATAGATTTAGAGCTTGAATCGACCTCAGAAATCATTATCTGATATCTAACACAGAACTTTGTACTTAGCATTAATTTAGGCTTTGTTGAATGGAACTGAAAATTAGTACTTAATCAAGGCCTATTATAACCATGCCAATCTACAATTTTTAAAAATTCTACAATTTTGCCTGCATTTATTAGTGTTCACTCATAAAAAAAAACACCTTTAGATGTAAGAACACTTCTAAATTATTGAAAATCAATTTACATGACACAAATAAGTACATTTATTTTTAAAACCCATATACTGCAGTTTTTAAACAGCTGTAAAAATATCCTTTGCCTTTGGGTACTTAGGTTGTATTTAAAATCTTCCAAAGGAGCTTCCAGCAGAAATTAAGCTCTTTGAGGGCAGGGATAGTTTTCAGTTTTGTCTTTGTGAATCTTCCACACCGCCCCCCACCAAGCATCTATTATATATGCTTACTATGTGTTTAGGAGCTTTACACAGAACAGGCATATATAGACAGATGCTTAATGAATTGAAAGTAGGCCAAAACAGATTTTTAAAAATCACTTATTAAAAAGCTTAAATAAGTTAGATTAAGGGAAAGGGATGCTAAAAATTTAGATCTTTGAGAGGCAGATTACAAAAATTATTCAGTATGCTATTAAAGTAATAAATTAGAGAAATCATTTTAACACATGACACTTGAAATCAATATATCTATTACCCCAGACTGGGGCTAGTCAAAAACAATAATCTACCAAAATGAAATTTCTTATACTTTCTTTGAACTAAGTCAAAGTCCTCAGTGCCTAAATAACCAAAGTATTTCCTAATGGATTTTTTTTTAAATTTACTAATCAAGCTAAAGATAAAAACCCTCTCTCAAAAAGGGGTATGTTGACACTAGCTAGCTCTGAAAAGCTATCCATTTGGGCAAACTTCTACTCACTTGTTCCAAGACACACATATTATTGCACTCAATTCTTTACCAGAATTCAATTTCACGTTAGGACATAATATATCCACAGTGGATAAAGTGCCGGACCTGGAGTCAGGAAGGCCCGAGTTCAAATTTGACCTGGTATACCTACTAGCTGTGTGACCCTAGACAAGTCACTTGACCCAGTTTGCCTCATCAGGCTATGTTTCAATTTTATCCAAAGCAATGAGGAGGTATGAGTCATTGAAGGTTTTAAAGAAAGCAAGTTTGGTTATCAGAGTTGTACATTAGGAAAATTAATCTGGCATCTGTGTATGGGATGGATTGGGTAAAAGACAATTCTCTTAAGAGGCTACTTGTAGGGGACAGCTAGGTGGTGCAGTGGATAGAGTACCAGCCCGGAAGTCAGGAGGACCTGAGCCCAAATCCGGCCTCAGACCAAACACTTGCCACTTATTAGCTATGTGACCCTGGGCAAGTCACTTAACTTCAATTGCCTTAAAAAAAAAGCTACTGTAAAAATTCAGAGCAACAGAAATGAAGGGCCAAATTACAGTAAAGTAGGTAGATCTGAAAGAAGAGAACATTCACAAATATTAAGGAGAACTAACAAAACAAAAGAATAGAGATTT